ATGGGAAGTATTGGTTGATATCTTCTATATATGTTTATTTTATTCAAATATATGGGCATAAATGATTTTCCATACAAAATCACCTCGTCATCATTTTGCAAACACGTGCATGCATTGGAAGTGTGGGAAGGAGACAAAAAGTATGTATGTGTGCGTAAGTACATATTTCGGCTTTTGATTAACAAATGGAGCAATATTTATAACCTAATCACAGCGTATGTACATATGTTGATTGCAGTTAATGTGGATCTGTTTCTATTCTTTATACTAATATATATACACGAAAACTTTTTGAAGTGAAGCAACACTTAGAAAAAGACCAATCGAAGAATAAAGTAAAGGTGAGTACGTACATTGATAAAGAAAAGGATAAAGGCAAAGGTAAAAATAAAAGCAAAAACAAAGTTCCGCAAAGATAAAGCCAAAAATTAAGAACAAAGGAAATTTAAACACTTTACTTTTATATATAAGGGCAAAGGTGAAGGGGAATATGTATATAAAAAATATGATAAACATAAAAATAAAAACAAAGATAAATTCATATAAAGAAAAAGATGAGGATGAGGATACCGATAAAAGTATAAATGAAGATAGAGGAAGGAAGATTAAAATAAAGGTAGTTGTAGAGAAAAGGATATAGATACAGGCACAGAGACTCAATCTGGGAACTATTTCGGGATTTTTGCGATTTTCGGGATTCTCGGGACTTATAGATATAATAACCGATATTTTGTGGGTTTTGTGATCGATATTTTTATCGATTTTGTTATCGAAATTGATATCGATACTGTTATTGATTTTGCTATCGATATTTTCGGAACTTATCGATATAATGGTCGATATTTTTATCGATTTTGTTATCGATATTTTGATTGATTTTGTTATGGATTTTGTTATCCACGTTGTTATCGATTTTATTATCGATTATTTAACGATATTTTTATCGATTTTGTTATCGATTTTGCTATCGATTTTGTTGTCGATATTTTTATCGATTTTGTCATCAATACTTTTATCGGTTTTGTTACCGATATTTTTAATCGATTTTGCTATCGATATTGTTATCGCTTTTGTTATCGATATTTTTATCAGTTTTACTATCGATATTTTTATCGATTTTGCTATCGATGTTGTTATCACTTTTGATGTCGATATACTTGTCGATTTTGTTATCGACTTTGTAATCGATTTTGTAATCCATTTTTTGATAGATCTTGTAATCGATATTTTTATTAATTTTGTTATCAATATTTTTATCGATTTTGTTATCGAGTTTGCTATCGATTTTGTTATCGATATTATTATCGATTTTGATATCGATATTGATATCGATTTTTTATCGATATTACTATCGCTTTTATTATCGATATTTCTTTCTTAGTGTGTGCTTTCGTTTTTGACTTGGATATGCTCTTAACCATACGACGTATTCTACGTTTAAATTTAGCGGCTGTATCTCCGATACAGCCTGCAGACCAAGACGAAGGCGCTGGACTGTTCCTTTTTTTTTAAGTGCAAAAGTACTTATTTTTTTAATGACTTCTCTATTCACAAAGCTAAACAAAATTTATATTTCAAATAGCTTCATTAAAAGTCTTATAGCATTTCATCCTAAGGCAGGTTATGCGGGAAAAATACAGCACAGCCTAAGGGACTGGCCATTGTTTAAAAGATATAGTATACTATTTTTTCAACATTGTAAACATATGCTTAAATATCTATTACTTACTAAAACATTATTTATTTATTCAAACTCTTCTTTCAGGTATGACAGTGTGCTACCAACGACTGTCTGTGAACAACAACAACCACAACAAATTGGACTCTAAACCAACACATATGCCACCGTTGCACTATCCGCACGGTCACAGATGGAATGAACCATATTTTGATTCGACTGTACCAAAAAATATAACATCGCTCGTGGGAAAATCTGCATATTTGGGATGTCGAGTTAAGCACTTGGGAAATAAAACCGTAAGTAAATTTAAAATCGCATTAGAAAAGAATGTATTTACTTAATCGACTATACATGCAGAAACTGATTGAGATGTAGTATGTATGTACATATTTCGTCCCCCTCATGCCAGAAACAAGAATGTGAAGAAATAAAAATGTTGGGAAATCAAGTAAGAATTTTTTATTATGAGACTCAGCTCTTCATTCATGTAATTGATATTGCAAACTACGCACGGTACGCATGGTATTCAGGGTGTTTTGGTGTAAGAGCATCCAAAGGTGAATCAAGTCAACCCAATAACTCAAAATGGGTAAATTTGCACATCCATGCTTCTATTTCGCCCCTAAACAGGCAATGGCAAACCTCCGAAACCTCTCACAAAAATACAATCGCCGTTCGGAGTCGGCGTAAAACTGTAGGTCCCTCCACTTTGTGTGACAACATCAAGGCGCACGCCACAAATCGGAGGAGAATCTCGGTCAAACACTAACATATGTGCATGCACCAATCGATTATTATTATAATTATCTTTAACTTAAATAAACAAAGTCATATTTTCTACTTCAAACTAAAAAAAAAAAAATTAAAAACTTACCTCCGCCAAAAAATGTTACGTAAGTGGTCGCATGGGGTCTTAACTTACTTAAAAGAGTAGCGATAAATGCGTACACGCCGATGTTCTGTCAGTGCAGTTAGGAAGCTAGAAAGAGCGCAAGCACTCTCCAAGCACTTCAAGACATTTTTTTTCAACTTGAAATGGCCTTGACCCCATTGGCCTATTTAAGGGTTAAGTTTTCATCTTTTTGAATCTCTTCCGCTCAGGAACCATAATGTGGCGTAGAAAAAAAACCATAAGTAACTTCAAAGTGTGCTAATTTTAACAACAATAACTAGCCAATAGTCGAATGCCAAATCCCACGTTCTGAATGATATTTGTTACAATTTGTTTTTCTTACGTCTCCTTGTCTGTGAATGAACGAAATATCTTATACATACATACATACGACCGCATAATGCGACGTGATATCTTAATATACAATGAATGTCCAGCATGCCAAGAGCTATAGCGATAGCTTGTTACTCACCTGCCAGTCAAAAAGACACGAAAATACATATATCAAATATCGACAGGCGAAATCCAAATTGCAGTACAACAGAGAAAGCAAAGTAAACAACCGAAGCCAACAAATGCCAACTGGATGCACACAATCAAGAACGCGAATGAAATGCTGCCTAACCAAGCAAAAGTATAACAATAAAAAGATTTCCAACTAAGAAATATTTACGACTCTTAGCAAAAATTTGTGCAAGTGCCACCCAACACACTACGTTTGTGAAAGCTATGCACTATGAGGTTTTACGTCAAATTTGGAATTTTTCATTTTTTAAATAGATAACTGTAGTCATTTGATACATGAGTATGATGGAGTTAATATCCCCAGGCTTCATACTATCATATGTAGGCTATCGCGCAGCTGATGAAACTGCAGCATTTCTTCATTCATTTCCTGCTCCCATTTCTCCACGTATTGATAAAACATATACCTTGCCTCTTTGTGAATAACTCCTTTCATTTTTTCCATTTTTGGTTTTAAATTCTTCACGTGGACACTGCTAACGTGCAGGGCGGCATAACCTTCGATGCAACAACCAAGGTGCGGAGGTGGCTTCTCAGTGGCGCCAGTGACACCTACATAGCATGGCTATCAGCCAGCACTCAGTGGCGAATACAGGGGAGGGGCGATCGGTTACGAAGGTTATGGTTACGGTTACGGTTAGGGGCGAAAATTTTGGTTACAATATATTACCTCGAACGAGAAATTTGAAAAGAAATTTAGAAATAAATAAATTTTAATCTTTAATCATAATCCTTTTTTTAGGCTTGCACAAGATTATTTATAGAATAGAAAAGCATGTAAATCTCACAGTTTATGTCAAAAAATTTCAAAGTGAAAGTACATTTTTTTTTTGTATCATGGACGATATATACAAAAATGTAGATATGTACATGTAGAAAAAATTTTCCGAAGGGCGAAACGAATGTAGGAATATGCACAAATATTTATGTATAATTATTATGGTGGTAATGATTTTATGGAATATAAATTAAACATAAATGTACGTGTAGCTAAATTGTATTCCCAGCGTACACTTTTCAGTATAATGGTATATCAGCATGTTATTTTGTTCATTAATAATTACGTTTTTTACTTAACTTAATAATATTTTCAATAGTATTCGACATAATTTGCGCACTTTAGAATCTTACAATAAAAACGGAAGAACATATAACTCTCGAATGAATCCAACAAGTCAAGTTTATATGGAACGAGTGTCTTAATGTGCATGTCGTTGCATTCGTTTCGTTTGAAATTGTACAAGTGCATGATTCAAACAAGCAAAACTGTTTACAACGTTGACTCGGTATAAAATTTAACAAGCGTTTAACGTTTAAAACGATTAACATTGTTCATGTATCAAATCATACATACATATATTAGTTCAATATAAACGAACTGAAAATTCAAGTAGCGCCTTACTTTTATCTGATTCGAACTTCATAAACATCACTAGAACCTCTATTTGCGTGAAAAATAAATGAGGGTTGAAGCAGGTTTGATGATTGTAGGTAATATAGCTTCGATTGGTCACTCCGCTGTGAATTAAGTTAGACGCCTGTAATTTAACGTTATTCGACAAGTCGATTCCAATCGCCCCTCCCCAAATAAAATCCTGTATCCGCCACTGCCAGCACTTATGTAAGAGCGCACTAATGGCAAACAAGATTTATGATGTGACATCAAGTGGGAGTTAGTGTGAGTAAAGGTGTATATGACGTTGGCACGCCAACAGATATGCTGCTCATTTTCACTAGCAGCCTTCGTCGTCTCGGAATGATGCTTTAAGTAGCAGACTATAAGTAAAATGTTGAGTGATAGTGTTGGTGTTTAAGATAGCTTTTTATATGTAAGAAGATGATTTTTGATACATATGTACATACATATGCAATACACAACTACGTGGCGGCTGCCGGAGCCGAGAGGTTATAGGATACCCACGACTTTACCAAGTTCAATTCCTGGTCCGAGCAATCCTTTTAAAGATTTTTTTTTTTTTAAGTGAAACTTCTTTAGCGGAGGTTGGTTGGTGGGAGTAAATTGGCAAATTCAACGGAAATGGTTGGGGCTGAAACAAGTGCTTCTTGTGTGTATGCATATGGTATTAATTCAACAAAAATTTGCTAATAAGAGTTTAAAAAATAACACTCAGAAAAAGACCAATACAGGCATGAAATTATAGGTGACTACGGACATAGAAAAAGAAAAGGATAAAGGCAAATATAGAAATAAAAACAAAAACAAAGATGCGTAAAGGTAAAGGCAAAAATGAAGACCAAGGTAAATTTAAACACTTTACTTATATATATATATAAGGGCAAAGGTGAAAGGTTGTAGTTAAAGAAAATGATAAACATAAAAGTAAAGATAAAGAGGAGTATGAGGATACCGATAAAAATACAAAAAATGAAGATAGGTGAGGAAAGATTAAAATATAGGTAATTAAAGAGGAAAGGATATAGGGAGATACACAGAGACTCAATCTGGGAATGATTTTGGAATTTTAGACATTTTCGGGATTTTCGGGACTTATCGATAAAATAATCAATATTTTTATCGGTTTCGTTATCGATTGTTTTATCAAAATTTTTATCAGTGTTGTCATCAATGTTGCTATTGATATTTTCGGAACTTTTCGATATAATAATCAATGTTTTTGTCGACTTTTCTATCGATTTGTTATCGATTTTCTAATCGACATTTTTAAATATTTTGTTAGTGATATTTTTTACCGATTTTGTTATCGATACCGATTTTATTACCGATATTGTTATCGCTATTTTTATCGATATACCCAATTTCTAGCGATTTTGTTATCGATATTTTTGTCGATTTTGTTATCGATATTTTTATCGATTTTGTTATGGGTATTTTTATCGATTTTGTTATCGATATTTTTGTCGACTTTGTTATCACTATTTATCGATTTCGTTATGGATTTTTTATCGATTTTGTTATCGATATTTTTATCGATTTTGTTATGGATATTTTTAAAGATTTTGTTATGGATATTTTTATCGATACTTTTAGCGCTTTTGTATGGATATTTATATCGATATATTTATCGAGTTACTAATAGATTTTGCTAGCAATATTGTTATCGATTTTGCTATCGAAATTTATCGCTTTTTTCATTGATTTTTTTATTTTATCAATATTTTTTCGATTTTTTTGTCGGCTTTGTTATCAATATTTATCGATTTTGTTATCGGTATTTATCGATTTTTTTAATCGATTTTGTTGTTGATATTTATCGATTTGGTTATCGGTATTTATCGAGTTTTTTATCGATATTTATCGATTTTTTTACCGATGTTTATCGACTTTACTATCGATTTTGTTATCATTATTTATCGATTTGGTTATCAATACTTATCGATTTTGTTATCGATATTTATCGTTTTTATTACTGATATTTACCGGTTTTGTGATCGATATTTATCGATTTTGTTCTCGATATTTATCGATTTTTTTGTCGATATTTATCGATTTTGTTATCGATAATTATTGATTTTTTTATCGATATTTATCGATTTTGTTATCGATATTTATCGATTTTGTTATCGCTATTTATTGATTTCATTATGCATTTTATAGTGCTTTTGTATGGATATTTATAACGACATTTTTATCGAGTTTCTAATAGATTTTGCTACCAATATTATTATCGATTATGCTATCGAAATTTTTATCGAATTTTTCATCGATTTTGTTATCGGTTTTGTTGTCGATATTTTATTGGATGTTACCATCGATTTTGTTATCGATAGAGTATAAAGAAAGAAATGAGGATAAAGGTAAAACGGAATAACATAAATATAATTAGAACGAACAGGGGTAGAGGTAGGGATCTAGATAGAAAAAAGACAAAAAATATATCTTAAGCAAAAGCAGATGTATGTATTAATGTACATATGTTCACGTATACATATGTATATTGGTTATGAGAAAAAAAGAGATACGTAACGATACGTGGAAAAGAATACATTGTCAACATTTTGTAGTTGGGCGTTATGGGTCATTATACTTTGTACGTATGCAAAGCAATTGACGTTTTGGAAGTCAGCCTATATTGGTTATGAGACCAAATGGATATGTACATATGTAACGTAAGTTTCACTTTTCCAGTGTGGCCCAGGCGCACTTACGTTTTTGAAGTGCGATTTGAGTGGGTATCAAAAGAAATAGTTTTGAATAAAGATGAAGATGAAGATGAAACGTAATTATTCCGGATTATTTAAAGTCAGTCTGAAAGGAAAATTTGCAAGCTTTCAAATTATGACTTTTTCTGAATATTTAGTAAGTGCTGGACTGCAAAAATATGAAATAAGTAACAACTCGTAAATAAGTAGTTCAACGAAAAAAAATCCATTTGTATTGCTGAGCAACGTCACAAAATGAAAAGAATCGATATTTCACATAAAAGCATAACTAACCTATCGAGAGTTTTGACTTATGACAATATTCACGATAAATGTGAGACATGTGTCACTGTTCAGTGGTAAGGGTTCCCTATTTCTGACCACACTTCGCCACAGAAAAATATGGTTATTTATACACCTATTCCGCTATATAACTCAAAAACATGAATATTTGAGTTATGTCGTTATTTCAGAGGACCATCGATATGTTCAAAAAACCTTTAGCCTTTACCTTACCTTTTCCTTTTCAGGTGGCCTGGATACGCCATCGGGACTTACATATACTTACAGTAGGCACATATACATACACTACAGATCAACGCTTCCAAACATCGTACCATAGAGATATTGATGAATGGACTCTGCAAATAAAATGGGCACAGCAGCGTGATGCCGGCATTTACGAGTGCCAAATATCTACCCAACCAGTACGAAGTTTCTCGGTGAACCTAAACATTGTGGGTAAGTTGCAATGCATTGATTTTTAGGTCGATATAATTTACTAGGATGAATCAAAATGCCCAAAACTATAAGAATACATTGATTACATGCCATTTAAGTATCATGCATTCCGAGATTCCTTAAATTAAATAATAAAAGTTATTAGCAGGGAACGGATTTTATGGAAATTGCATTTTTTCTGCTAAAGAGATAGAGTATATTCGATTAAGAATGTCCACGATTTAGCTTTCCCTGATTCCATATATACACATTTGATGTTGCCTTATTTTGCCTTTTTTAAGATATTTGCCTTTTTTTTGCCTTTTCCACCTTCAAAAAAGTGATTATAGCGTTTACAATTTTTTTTTAAGATTAAAAAATATACGCATGCCCATGCGGCTTGTAGAAGCGCAGGGACCTCTTGCCAAATTGGTGTTGAAAAAATTCAAAGCCGTTTTCTCAGCTAACGTAGGCTTGGAGACAATAAGGGGTGTGGATAAAATTGTAAAGGGCGAGGAAAACGCCCTTATTCCTGATAATATGAACGTTTCAAACGTTCCATATTTAAATTGGGCTCCACTTGTATCAACTTACGTAGAGCGCACATTTAATATACTCAAGGCTTTTCTTCGCGAAAATCGAATCTAAATGCTGCCAGAAAACTTCAAAATGCATCTTGTGGTTCAATGTTACTACAACTATACAGATTAAAGTTTTATGAGTTAGAAACTCGAAAGGATAAAATAGTCAAAGATTCAAAGTACAAATTTTTCATATAATGAAACTAGTTCATAGTTTTTCTCTTTTTACTTGTAATATAAACATTTCTAAAATAAATATATTTTTTGGTTGTTCTTCGTGTTTTTAGTGCCTTATTTTGCTTTTCTTGCAATACCTTCTTTTTACCTTTTCCTGCCTTTTTCGCTATTTTATTTTGCCTTTTCCTGCCTATTTCGTTACTTTATTTTGCCTTTTTTATAGGTTTTTAGGTCCTAAAAATCCGTTCCCTGATCATTACTATGCCAAATACTAAAGTATGAGTCAGACTGCAGTCGCACTGCAGGATGTTTATTTTTTTACGTGGTCTAATATATAACAGTACTAGCAGACCCGGCGAACTTCTTAACCATTAACTTAATTTAACCATTTTGGTTAGACATTTACTCCAACAGTCCACGTTTACGACTTCCATTGGCACATTCATTGGCTAAGAATACCTATGGCTTGGTGGTCTATTACCGCCTTAAATGACCTAAAGAAAGTGTTATGTCCATGAAGAAGTTCCCTGGCGGCAACAATGATCCGGATCTATAGTGAAGCTGCCCTTGAAACTCTAGCACAATCGAAATCAAATATTTGTTAAGTAATGTGACCCTGCAGCAAGCTTTCGGAACGCCTCCAGCTCAGCTGACACTGACAGAAGCATCTGTCAGAGCAGCAGCTATCACTTCCAGCTTTTTTCTTTTCGTGAAAGCCTAGCTCGTGAAGTGGACGTGTTTGGAAGAAAATCAGCGAACATCCCAGCGATCCGGACGAAGATAAGTTACACGCCGTGATAAAAGGACACAAGCCTTGTTGCTAAAGCCTACCGGTAGGTAGGTGCCATGCCCCCTTTTCCAATAGCCCCATATTTTCTCCATGACTATAGGATTAATTTCATATATCTCCACACCAAGTTCCAGTAATCTAGAGATATGCAATAAGAAAAATGCTACTTGTATGGGAGGTGCAACGCCGGTATAAAGTTCCAGTACTCTACCATAAACACTTCCAGAGATACATACTTATATGAAAAACTCGGTTTATATGGGAGGTGCCACGTCCCCTTTTCAAATAGTCCAAATTTTTATTCATAAGTATGCGATTGATTTCATATATCTCCATACCAAGTTCCAGTATTCTACTATGAACATTTTCAGAGATATACAGTATGAAAAATTCGGTTGTATATCAGGTGTCACGCCGCTTTTCCAATAACTCCAATTTTTCTCCATGAATATGTGACTGATTTCATATATTTTCGTACCAAGTTCAAAAATTTTCCAGAAATATGCAGTATGAGACATTCGGGTTATATGGGAGGTACTACGCCCTCTTTTCCAATAGCTCCAATTTTTCTTCATTAATATGTGACTCATTTCATATATTTTCGTACCAAATATTTTAGCTAATATTCAGAAGATACCGTTTCAAACTCGTTAAAGTGGTAATAAAAACTGGCTGAGTCAGTGGGATCGTCGGTTCGAAGCCTACTGAAAGAAGTCTGATGAGGAAATGTGGTGATTTCCGAAATAGCTATCACTTCTACCATTTTTCTCAAATTATTGTTGCTTTTCCACAATAAGTTTTCTTTAAAAAATGGCATCGAGCTCAATAAAAATTGTTGAATGTGATAATAAAAATTTTTGTTTTGTATCTCCGAACTATGAAAAAGCATCTGTGAAGTCCAGAACATAAACGTATTTAAACGAAAAACCGCCAACCAAAACATTGGTTTATGTAAACAAAATTTTGGCTAATATAACCAAATCATTGTGGCAAATATCAGCCAAAAAAATCACGTTGATTCCTTTTCAAGTTTGAATTCGGTAACATTCACTCATTTTTGGTTGACTTTACTCTCAATGTATGTACGTACATACCGTCATCTCAATTTCCTTTAATACCATTAACGTCATCACAATCATTACCGAGCACTTGTGATTTAAGTCCCTTTGTGGCCAACATCCACGATGAGAAGAACACATTACTATAAGAGGACAACAGTGACGTTGCATTTTAGATAAATAAAGACTGTATTTACAGTCTAGCGACGATGAGTTTACCAGGTTAGTACAAGTATAACTTACACCCGTAGACTAATACTGCCACATGTTCTTAATTTAAAAGTTAACTGCTGCAACTCTACCATTCGCTAACATTTTCAAAATTATTAGCAATTCAAAGTCAAAAGCCTGGAAGTAACTGCTCATGACATGAGGAACATTTTCGCTTAACTGCCTGCTTTTGAATTTTATGCATCTAAAATATGTATGTATGTATTTCACTAACTTCAAGCGCAAGGAAATAGATATGGGCAATTGTAAATATGGTGACACGTGTGTTATACATACATATATACATACATATGTTGCATGCCACATATTTAGCTGGCATACGAGTGATGGTACAGCTGTTGCCATAACTAATATACAAATTACGCTATTACATACTGCTGACTAAGCTGCAAGAGATTCCACCAAAACTTGCGAGACCGGGTGTTTGATTCGTGATTGCTTGGTCTAAGTTGCAGTTGCTTCAGTCGCGAACTGTAAACATCAGTTTACATACATACTACTTAATAGCAATTACTTCAAGCATATTCAGAGTTTTACTTTGATATCCATTCATACATATGTACCTTAATATTTATGCACATATTTGTGTTAGTGACTCAAGGCATTCGCGAGATAATACAGTAGTCACCACTTACATGGGTCGAGCGTCCAGGACTCATATAGGAATATGTATACTCGTTTCATTATGTGAAAAAAATTTAGTTGTTACACAAAGAGGAGGGACCTACAGTTTTCCGCCGCCTTCGAACGTCGATTATATTTTTATGAGAAGCTGTTTTTCATGGCACAATACATTCGGAGGTTTGCGATTGCCTGCAGAGGAGCGATCGCTATTAGAAAAAAAAATTGTTTAGTTGCTTTTCCTATTAAAATTATTTATTTACTTATTTAATTTATATTACTTTACAGTTATTTGAAATTTGTTGAGTTAAAAAAATATGTTTGATCGTTAAGTTGCGAAATTTTTTATATTAATGCCGCGAAGAATTATTTTGAATTGAAAGACAAGCAGTAAATGCTTCACAATTAAGCTGCCCTCTGTACCACGTGGTCGTTTTATACCCCGAAGTCCAAAATCTTTTGTATATTTCGATGAAAAAATTCACTCCCAGGAATGTCTTTCTTGAATAATTTTCTTTCTAGATTGCAAAAAGCCATATATCAAACCGAATAATTTTAAGGAAAAAACTCGTATACGCCCGATTGTGTTTGAATTATTTTTGAACCCATTATACACACATACAAGTGTGTAAGATTTATAAGAAAACAGATGTGCTACGACTGCGATGCCTTAATTCTCTTCTTGTATGCAAATTTGAGGCATCCCTGAATTGAAAGCAGTAACAAATTAATATTTTGTGATTCCATTTAAAAATTAGTGGGGTAATTTTCTACCCCATAACAAAAACTATATGAATTGAATCAATACAACGACGGAGCGCTATATTATCATTAAAATTCTAGTAAATATTTGTCATATTGCAACACGAAAATGGCCTACGATATCAGGTGATTATTGGTGTAAGGATATACCACGTGACCATTGGAGGGTAAACAGGGTCCTTATAAACAGGACTTACTGTATTTGCATACACATGTTGTATGAACATTACATTAACTTTATGATATTTATGTACTATAAACATGGTAGGGAACTGCACTTTCCAGCATCCTACATACTTACATATGTTGCCAAGCTTTTCTTTGTTTACGGCTGTTTGTCTTAAAGTTCCTATGCTCAGCAGGTGCTCTATGGTTGTGAGCTTTTTAATGGTTTTGAAGTGTTTAAAAAAAAAACTTGTTTTGAATGTGAATCGGACCAGGAACTGAATATATGTAAGTCCAAACCCTGTAGGATACTTATAATTTAAATATTGAATCGCCAAAGTGACAGAGTTATGGAGAACCTAATTTGGATTGTTAATTGGTTATAAGTGCGCACGACCATTCCGCAGGGCCTGGGTTCGAGCTTAGTCTCCGAACAACATAAACAAATTCCAACATAAAATAAGTTTTTTTCTAATAGTAGTCTCCCCTCGGCTGGCAATGGCAAACCTCCGAGTGTATTCAGTAGGGTGGCCCTTAAACCTAAGGAGTAAATTTCTGCATCAGATTTTCTAATCCTCAACCCCTACGTCGATGCTACTATAGTCGAAGATATCACATATACATTTTGGTTCCGATTGGAGACGGTAAAGCCGTGTCGCACAAGGTTCAAAGTCCAGATTACCCTACGATGACATCTTAACCGACTTCAATCGGAACTAAACTTAATATGTGATATCCACGACTTTAGTAGTATCGATTTTGGGCATTAAATATAAAAACATATTTTTAATTTTTTGAGTCCTTAGAGGCTTTTGACCCCTTTAGGGTAAATTTTTTGAGTTTCTATAGAGGAATCTGAACTTTGCGCGCTGTGCGACGCGCCTTAACCGTCTCAAATCGGGACCAAAATTTATATCGTTCTTTGATTTTTAAGGACCACCCTAGTATTCAGCCATGAAAAAAAGCTTCTCATACATAGGCTTGTGCCAATCGGTTACAATATGGTGTATAGATAAACTGAATTTTGCTGTGCCAAACGCAAAGTAAAATTTTGTTATTCAAAAACCAAACAAACGCTCGTGCTAGAGCTCCATTTATATTTGTTGCTGAAATTGTTCAAATTTATATTTATTTTATAACTTACAAGTAACGTGCGCTTTTTTTCTTATTCCAGCTTCTATTTTGATTTTCACTCTTTTATACCGCCAAACAATATTACGTGTATCACGGTTGCCACATTTGGTCGCTTGTAACCAAAATAGATAACTTTTTGAGAGCTTGGTAACTTGGCAAAAGGGTTAACATGAAAGTCAAATGAAGAAAAAAATTATGATAATAAATTTCCAAATAAGTTTGGCGAAACAGAATGTCATTGCTAGCTGGCACACTTTACATTAGTGGGATTCATGAAACGTCGCAAAGTTCACCTTGTGACACAGCTGATTACTTTTGTATGGGAACTTTCTTGAGACAAAATTGCGACATTGCCATAGTATTTGAGCTGGCAATCATTGCAAGGTCAAAGTCGCGAAACATATTTCTTTTATTGGCTTCAAATACTTCAAGAAGAAGTTAAAGGTTGCTTCGAAATATAATTGTAAAAACTTTTATTTTCTCTAAAGCGCGACATTTTTAAAAAATTTTACATTTGCAATCCGGAGTTGCGATAGGTCGTTCATGCAACTTTGTTCGCAACATTGCCATTTCGCCACAAATGGCACTTTGCGACGTTTTATGAATCGCACTAATATTTCATTATGCTTATACACATTTAACAAATGTCGCCACTTCCGCACCTTTCGAAAAAAATTTTCGATTTTTTTCGATATTCGATATTTTTTTGATTTGCATCCCTAGTTTAGATATACATAAATATTTTAGTTAATTCCATTATGTGAAGAAGTGACTGTAGGTAAATGCAATAGTCTTTAACAGATCCTGGTAAATACTTTTGGGGACTCTACAATTGGGTGATATTGCTTTGCATTCAGCTTGAACGAAAAAAGTCACTCCCTGGCACACTTTAATGTAATCCGGTTTTTTTAATTTAAAAGTTATTTATACAATTGAAGACAAAAGTTTTTCGATATAACTTTACTCGATCGGTACGTAATAATTACCAAATTGAAGGCGAGACTTACTGTTACTGATTTATGATAATAATATGATCAAAATCATTGAAATTATAAACAAATTATTTTAAAATAAAAAAAAATAGCGAATACAATTTTTTGTCATTTTCCGATATTTGCAATTTTTATATTATATGCATAAACATAAGTAAACTAATTAGTATTTCTAGAAGTTGTGCCTGTTCAATGTTTCCATACTCATTTGCATAAACAAAATTCTTCCACGATGATGCAAAATAATGGGATTTTCTATTAGAACTACCGAAATTGTTCCTAAATTTGCAAAAATTCGCAAACTATAGCTAATATAAAAAAAATTATTAGAATATTTGGAACCAGCGACCTAAATGCACGCGATCAATATTAATGCTGTTCTTTACATCTTTTGACTATAGGCCATCAAGAGAACAATTACAATTTTCTTGAAAACAGATAACTTTGAGATTGACGATAAGCTAAAGGGCTGCGAGTAATGATATTTGACTTTATCTTTTGCGTTAACGGATTCATTATCTAACAATATGCACCAACCCTTTTTGCTTAACCCAGAATTTTTAACAAGAATTGGTCTTATTCGACTAGTATGCTGTGGGTCATTTGGCCGTCGATGCGCGGATTCTTACAGTTAAAAAAAAAGGACTAATATTTGCAGGCTTGTTGTTAACTTTATGATACAATATATTTTCACTATTACCAAGGGATTTGAAAAAATTAGATTTTCGACCCACCCTACTACATTGCCGATAGCTTTCTGCATTGCTTCTAGCAAAGAAAGATGCTGAACTTAGGGACGTTTCCTCAGGTTTTAAATTTGTTCCGAAAAAATGTTTTTGAAGGGCAGATAGATTTTCGAACCTACTTCAGAAAACGGTCCTTAAAGGTTTTAATGATTTGGCTAGGGAATGGACTCTCCTTCTGACTTTCCTAATGAATACTACGTCTAAACCTCAATAACTCAAGTTAGAAACAGGCAGACTCTTATAAGTCTTCAATTTCATGAGTTTGATGTAGTAGAAATTCTTTCTTTTTTCATTTAGCTAGAGCCTTTTTTTGGTGCTTTTTGTTTGTTACTTTCGTTGTTTGTTGCTTTTTGTTTTTGTCCTATTAAATTCACTACATATTTCATGCATAGGCTTTGGCAACCAACTGAAATAACTAGGAATACATAAGTTTATCTGATTTACTGAAAAGATGTAATGTTTGCTGTCTATATGAACTTTAATGCTATTATCCATGTGCATATAAAAGTACATGCCACAAATGTGTCTACATAATTTACCTTTTATTTTCTTATATTCCTTTGTGACCAGTACCAACGGCAAGCATATTGGGTGGACCCGATTTATATGTGGATAGAGGTAGCACAATTAATCTGACCTGCGTAATCAAGTACAGCCCTGAGCCACCGACACATATATTTTGGTATCATCAAGATAAGGTAAATACTTACGATTGTATATTTAACTCGTTATAGTATAACTAGTACATAAAGCAAGCTATATGAAAAATCTCTAGTTTTTAACTAACACAAAAAACACGCCGGAAAACGTGAACTTAAGATTGAGTCGTAGATTACGGATCTGTATACCGTTTTTCCAGATCTGGTAATCCATGCATTGTAACTTTATTAAAGCATGTTCTTCCGCCATAAACTCAAGCTACTAACGATGAAAATCTATGGATAAATAAACAAATTTTGAATGGCTAATTGAAAATGCAATAATTTTTTTTATGAAATAGGGCCAGGAAATAATATTACTCATACGCGTCATCGAACAGGGCCGTACTCGTACATACTCGTATTGGCGATTGAGTAACATTTTGCAAGTAATTTTTTTTTTATTCACAAAGCAAACTTAAAATGAAAATGTCTTTGTTTAGGCGACTAATGACCCTGTAGTCAAATGTACTAGTTGAAAACTACCTCACCACTAGTATGAACCGCATGCCCAACTAGTCAGCCAACTATCTTTTTCCCATGCAACCAATTGGTATTTTTAACATGAGATTGTCAATTGTCAGATTTCGGTCAGAAATATACCAGTCTCATACTAGTTCAAAATAGACAGAAAAATTCTAGTACAATTATGGACCAAAACCACTATTTTGGGAGTCAAAAAATAAAATGAATTCATGTATACAATAAAAAACTTTTGATTAAGTACACTTAAATATATTATACATTGTTATTTAGCAGCCTTAGATTTTCCAACAATTAGTGTTAAATTTTTTGAGTATTATTTAAAAGCATAATTAAATACATAAATATTCCAAACTTTCGAACATAAATTTAAATGCATTTTACATTAAATGTTATTAAAAAAAAAGGTTTCAGGTACAATTAATACTATATTTTTATCTTTTTTAATAATATTGAATATGCAAAAGAAAACATTTTAGTTAAAAATAAAATTAATACTTCAGTTCATTTTCGAGTGAACTAAAATAAAAAAAAGTGTTCATTAAAATAAATTAAATTCATTAACTTTACATATATCAGTATATTTTTAAAAATTTATAAAAGTAATAACTAATGTTTATATTTGAGATTTGGATAAAAATAAAATAAATAAATAATTCAAGCAGTTATTAAATGGTCTTCAATTTTGTCTATAGTTTGGCTTGTTATTGATAATAGAAATTAATCAAATAATTATATTAATCGGGTAATTAAAAAAAGTCGAAAATAATTGGAAATGATCAAAAATTACAAAATAATGATGTAATTAGAATTAATAAATTAATTAACATTTTTTTAAGTAATTATTTTTTAATCATTAATAAGGTGGTAATATCATTAAACTTTATAGCTTTCAGCATACAGAGGTGGTACAAAAGTTACCATTGGTCACAGCGCCTACCCAAATTTTTGAACATACATAAATACCTAGCCGGTGCTACACACGTCCCGCTTGACGCATGCCCTAGAGTGTTACTATCCAAAGTTATTATAAGAAGCAGTTATAATTTTTTCGAGTTACAATGAAAAGATGAGTAACTTCGGTACTTTTTCGCCTAAATAAACGTTTTAAGGCTGAAATTGTTCCAATACTTGATTTATTTTTTGTTATAATTGTTTCTGGAACTCTATCGATTGATATACATGCAAGAAGAATGAGTTAGCTTTTTTTTTGTTTCTGACGAGAGAAGAAAGTGACACTAAAAAACAACTCATGCGATTTTCTCATATACAAAGTTACTTAAACATATGTACAAATGTCATACATTTTTTAATTATTTTAAAACTTCTCACATGTAAGTTTAAAAGCTAATGTCAATATATCAATTAAATGGTCCCAATACTCCATAGCCTATATACAGTTAGGTGGAAATTTCTTATGTAACTAAGCTTATCTCAAAATTGTCTTATTAAGACTGAATCAATTTGACAGAATGTGGTAATTTCTTTCCTAGGTGTTCTTTATTTTTTTGTCACTATTACAGCGTTTCAGGAGTTTGTATAAATGATAAAACTTTATTATCAAAACCAGTGTAGGATTATCTGTAGTCGTCCTTAAGAACGCGATAATAAGTGTTCTAAGTCTTCTTTAAATTTCGTCTATTCTAACTTCTCTTCTTTATTTTCTTTCGTAGGTCCTTTCAGAGGAAACATCAGCCAGTCGTTTGAAAATAAGAACTATTAAGTCTATGGAAACCAAATCAATACTACTCATCAAAAATGCTGATCTCCTAGACTCTGGTAAATATTCCTGCTACCCATCGAACACGGAAATAACAAGCATACGCGTGCATGTGCTACAGGGTGAGTACGTTAAAAACAAACAAAAAATATTGCAAAGCCAAACATTTATTATTAGGGAATAGAGAAACGCAATTCCTACATAACAAGTTATGTTTGGTACCCAATGACCCCAGCTCACTACGACCATTCACTCAATTAGGCTTCCTTGATCAAGTATCAAAACAGTCTCATTTTCGTTGTTGGTGCTTCCGACAGGGTAGGAGTGTGATGTAATGTGGAATGAGTTTCCGTTATCCCTTGCCAAATTTAGTTTGGAGACAAACCGGTTTCGGCGTTTTGCCATCTTCAGTGTAATTTTTCGTTCTGAATAGTTTCTTTTTGTCCGTCACTATTTATAGCCGTGCTAAATCGTCGTTGGTTCTTAATTAGGTGCGTCTCAGCAGATTATATTCTTTCCTTCAACCAGTGGTTTTTGTTCTGTGCATACATCCTCACCAGCTGATTTCTACCTGAGAAGTTTTTCCAAATTCTGGCGGTGTTGGTGTTTCAAATATCGAGGCGTATATGCAACTAATTTTAGTACTATCGAAATCGGCTTTGAAGTCAAAAAATAGGTGGTGAGTGTGAACCCCTTTTCTCGCGGGTCTTTTCCAAGTTTTGGCGTATTTTGAATACCTGGTCTATGGGGGATTTGCTCGGTCTGAAGCCACACTGATAAGGCCCAATCAGTCCATTAAGACCTTGAAACCTATATTGGGTAGAACACATTTAAATTCTGCATAAGTGCTGATGCATGCACCTTATTAACTCCTAGCCGCTGGCAGGCCGTCAGCTCTAAGAGCTTGGTTATTTTCAGCGCGTAGTCGTTTCGGACGTACGTGCATTCCGAGGCCCAAGCATCGACTCGGACCATTATTTGTTGCAGACAAGATACGAACGCGCCTCTGTGAAGCAAAAAATGTGCGTCCGAAAATGCAAGGAAAGCTTAAAGTCGAAAAGCTGCATTCAAAACAGATGCCAATGCATTCGATTCTCACACATGCTCTAAGAGAGCACTCTTCCCCAAACCGACATATGCGAGGAGGGGAACCACATTTTCCGCTCTTTAAGTACCACCGCCGAAGAAGTAGTCTGATTTCAGCGAGCCCGAAAGAACAACTGCCAGGATTGTCAAAAAGCTGCAGACAAAAAAGATGCCACCTACAGGGCTCCGCTGTGTTCGAGCGCAACGTGGGCCACGTGGGGCCGTGCTTGAAATGCTAGCCGACAAGAAAAATGTACGAAAAGTTTGCCAGAGTTAGCCTACTTACGAAAGGTTTCAAGAGCGGGGCCAGCTCCAGTAAAAACAAAAATGGCGACCGAGTCACCAGAACATACTTAAATTATAGAGGGAACACATTCCTATTTTATTGAATGGCAGCAACACTGAAAGTTGTGGAAAAGAAGAACCCGAGCCCCCAGTCGATGACGATGGAGTCGATATTTCACCGTCTGACTGATTTGTTTGCAACAAATAATGGTCCGAGTCGATGTTTGGGCCTCGGAGTGCACGTAAGTCCAAAACACTGGAAATGATCGCTTTGGTTTCTCTTTTTTTCGATCTGCAGACAGCCATGCAGCTTTATGGATATTTTTATGCTTGAACCTAGTACCGCACACTACCATGTTTCAGGCCCCGGCGAAGTCGATCAGCCCCAGTCCGTTGTCGGACGTTTCGTCATGGAGGCTGAGTTTTCCGACGCTGGTTTTCAATATCCCTTGCATTGAAGACGCCAAACATGATTTTGATACCTGTGCGGGAGCAGCGCTCATATGTGTGCTCCAAGCGCTCATAGGGGCTACCCTTGGACACTTCGCCCTTCTCTTCTGTCGGGTCGGGGGCGGAAATAAGCAATATGTTGAAGAATCTTGCTCATATGGGGATTGTAGCGAGACGTTCGTTCACTGGGGTGAATGACAGTACATGGCGACCGAGTCTGTCTTCCACCACAAATCGAATACCAAATTAGCGCTCCTTTATATGTCAGCTTTAGTAGACGTCGCCAGGACCCAGGCTTTTCTTGGATGACAGTGATGTCAGTTTTGGTCCTTACGAGGATATTAACCAGCCGGACAGAGGCACCTTCGCCATTAAGGATACGGACATTCCACGTTCGTGCCCTCAAATCGTAGTCTTTTAATTGTTTGCCGTGTTCGTCACCAAAAGGTAAGGTATCATACAGCTAGCCGCTCGCTTCAATAGAGACGCCCGCTTGCAGCCGCTCCTACTGGTGAACAGTCGCTGCAGGCCTCAGTGAGCTCTTAAACCGAATAAGTCAGAGTGGCCGCACCAAAACTACCTCACTTTCTGCCGTGTCTCCAGACTCCACTCTGATTGTATACCGCATCTAGCACATGGGTAGCTCACGTTGCCCAGAGCGCGAAAACGAGGACGCAAGAGTTGGAGTGGAACATAGCCGTACAACTGCAATTGCATACCCAGCACAACGACTACATCCCATTTCACTCAATGGCTATACTAAAGAAAATTTGTTCTTATATGGAAGAGAACGCCTAGTGAATTAAACTCTGCTTTGGAAGTATATTGAAAAATTGCATATCATAAAAAAAACTTTAAACTTGCACTTTATTATGCTAGAATTGAATTGGATATAAAACTGCATAAACAATTTATCTAAGGCTACGAACAGAAAGTTGGAAAAATTAGTGAAATTTGTAAAAAATTTTTAAAAGTTTGTAAAGTGATTTATATAGGGTTTTTTGCACAACTAGCTAGACTTTTACAAAAAAATACAAAACATTAAATAAATAGAGCCCAAACTGGTTACAATAAGTCGATTTTTTATTTCTGCTACCAGTATATTTCCTCTGGCCACATAATATCGTTACGAAAAATATCAAAGCTTCAAAAAAGCTAGCAATATTGGCAATATGTACATAAATGTTAATTACATCACTGTTCTTAAAGCAATAAGCAATTTAATGTTATTATTTATTTTATTTTTCCACAGGTGAGCGATTGGAAGCAATGCAAACCAGCTCCGCGTCCACTGCGCGATACGGCGTTGCCACCTATCTAAGCAAGCAAATTAGTGCGATAGTCTGCGCGTTAGTTTTGTCACAAATATTTACATTTATCTGGAGCAAAACAGGCAAGATTAGCGAACAGACACACAAGGGCCAAAGCAGGATCAGCCTACAACCGACTGCGACATGTATCAAACAAAGTAGTTTTTACAAAAGCTCATCCAGCTACACGCAACAACCACAGCCACCGCTACAGCAATATCAGCAGCATCAAGAGTTTGGTCACAGTGTTGCCACATTGCTTATGGTAGCATTGCGGTACAGCAACAATAGCCCCACCACTGGCCGTATAATTGCCCTCTCAAGCGAACAGCGCATATGTGGCGACATAACCGATGATGTTAATCAAGAGGACTGCCAGCAGAGTTTCCATCAACGGTAACAACAATTGTTGCTTCGAAAATCCGTATACTTCAATGACGCTCTCAAGGCAACAACATTTCAATAAACTTGAATAGAAGATGAGGTTTAGAGCATAATTTTATGGAGACAACTTACAGACTGCAAAGGTGGCTGCAGTAGCATATTTTATGCCTAGCTATGATAACCATGCCGACTGAGAATGGACAAAGTAGGGCCACAAATACAAATAATAACATACATATAGTTAGTTAAGTAGTTAAAGTTTTTACTTCCTTATATGGGTTATATGCGTATGTACTTAGCTGAGTTAGTTGTGCATATGAAAAGAAACGATTACAACTGCATCTATATATGTACTTACACATAAGCTTACTTGTAAATAAACTGGGTGGGTAGTATGTAAAGATAATACTATGAATAGTTGAAAAACTAAATTCAAAATATCAAAATGTAGAAAAGTTTAAACATGTATGTATGTATATGCAAAATTCCTTAAAATAAATACATTTGTATATATGCATATATACGAGTACATAAATAAATTGTAATATATTGAATTTTAAGTCAAAGGAACGCTATGGCGTTTACGACCCTCCTACCTTCCTTCCCTCCTCCCGAAGAGTCGCTCTATGTATACATAGATGCCTCAAAGCTCGCGGGGAGCATTGGGTGAGGTGTATACTCCCATCATCTGGGAATTTCCCTTAGCTTTCGTCTTTCGGACCACTGTAGTGTTTTTCAGGCGGAACTGATGGCAATCAACAGGGCCACGAAGCTGGTATAGTGTGATAAGATACCCCAAGTTGATATCTTTATCTTCACTGATAGCCAGGCGGCAATAAAATCCCTCACGAAGCAGTCGACAATTTCCATGGTAACCATTAAATATCGCGCATCTCTTAACGAGATGGTTGAGTCATTTCGCCCCGAGGTAATATGGGTTCCGGGGCACTGCGACATCGAGGAAAATTGTAAGGCAGACGAACTGGCGTGATTGGCACAAAACTTCGTTTTGAGAATATAAACGATGAAATTGGAATACCCTTACAAACTTGTAAGCTACTTATCTCCGAGAGGCTTACTAAAGTAGAGAATGACAGATAAAATGACGAAATTGTGACCGGTGCTCAGTGCTAAACGCACTAGCTTACTACTGAGCCTTAATTAGCACAATATTGGATTATTAGTATCTGTCATATAGACAGAAAGCAACGTTGATCCGGATTAACGGCGCAATTGATCTGATCTAAAGTTTTCCTCGACAGACGGCCCACGGTCACACAGCCAGTTGAATATTCATTTAATTTTGTTTATTGATTTAATTATAACTTCTATATTTTTTGAGTCTGGTTCTTAGTTAATTGCTTCTGACTATTGGTAAAATTAAGCTATACAAATTTAAAAATATCTAATAATAAAATAAAATAAATGTAATTAAAAGAACAAAACGAAAATAAAGAAAAATTAAATATATAAAGCAAATAAAATAAAAAAATAAAAGAAATAATAAAAACAAAATTTTTTTGGTAATCGTTTGGAGATCGAACCTGGGACCTGCAGACTTGAAGTACGCACTCTCGCTACTCGGCTACCGCAGATGAAAAAACCGGTCGCTTTGTTTGCGTACTCGTTTGCTCAGGGAGCGTAGAACACAAAGACAATACAAAACTAGCACGGACATCCACATTGTCGTCAGAAATGCAGTCACCGTATTAATTCAAATAAGTTCATATTCAAGTTAAATGGGATTAGTATCTGCATAAGTATTATTTTATTAAGTATTTGTTTTCCTATTTAGCTCCGAAAATCTTTCTAAAATAATCTAGCACTTTTAAGCTCCACAAAGTTTTAGTTGTATTATTGTATATTAAAATAAAATAGGAAAAATGTATACAAACGTCGCCGTCGCGTAAAAGGTACTTAAATAATCTTTAAGTTAGCACCAATAGGCTTATGATCGGTCTAATAGTTTCCGAGATATTATAAATAAAAAAAATATAAAAGCTAAACTTGAACCTTTTTATTGGCTTTAGTTTTTATTTGCGCCAGATAATCTTCGTATGGTTGAAATCAATTATGATTAATCAGATCCTGAGTAATTACTGTTTACTCAAACGAATTTATTTGAAATCTGAATAAATTTGTTCATTTCCTTCAAGTTTGCTCTCAAACCAAATGAAACCTTTTTTATGTACAACCCACTGTCATAGCCTTTAGAGTATCCATAAAAAATCGAAAACTATATCCAAATGTATCCACCGAAAAAAGCGGACATTTTTACACAGCACATCAATGGAAGAAAAACTCGGCCCCTTAACAAACTTATTAACACGTAGTCAGTATATATATACAAAGGCCCGTAGTTATAGTCAAAATTAAGTCGACTCTAAATTTAATTGCAGCTTTTTGACATAATTTACGTTTTACTTTTTTACTTATGACTCAATCTCTTAAAAAAAAAAAATGGTTTGGTCCAATACCCAGAAAAAAAGTTGATTTTGTCGTATAGTGTTATCGATATCGACAAAAACACTTATTAAACGTCGGCTGAATTATATAAGTTAAGAATAAGCTGCCTTTTTGCGAGAAGACATGACGAAATTTGCAAAAAATCTGATGCCGTAGATACTAGAGTTGTCAAACTATCGATGGCACTATCGATAGTATCGATAGTTTAAATTTTTTTAGACTATCAATACTCATTGATAGTTTTTTCTTATACTATCGAAAATATCGATAGTTAAGTAGGGCTATCGATCATCTCTACCAATTATTTTGAAATTATTGGAATTTTTTAATTTGAATTAAAAATTTTGTTTTTTAGTGTGATGCCGACGTCATATTCAAATATGCACGCATTTAGGCCAAAATACATACATATGTTAATGGTAAATCCTGTTTTGTTTGTATAACTTGTTTTTGTTGTTGAACTTTCTAAAAAGAGAAGTATTTTGGCTAAGAATTTACTTAATTTTGAACGATTATAACTTTTATAAGACAATATTTATTTCACTATGATCCTGTAAAAACAAAGCAACCTAACTGATTTAGCGCTATCGATAGCGCTATCGATAGTGCTATCGATAGTTTTGTTTTTTTCGAGACTATCGTGAATATTGATAGTTTTTCTGAAAACTATCAAAACTATCGATGGTGTGACTATCGACTATCGATAGTTTGACATCTCTAGTAGATACAAAATCAAAAAAGGGATTGTCAAACTATAATATTGAATAGGTTGTATTTGTTTACAGCTCTTTTGCACAACAAATCTCGTCATGAATCCAAACTATGCAATGTTGGCCATGTTGTATATTTTTTTCCTTAAATGCAATAAATATTATTTTTTTTTCTCAACATGAATAAATATTTTCATTAAAATCTTGAAGCATTTTTCATTTACTCTAGAGAAATTGTTTAACTTCCTTCTTAACATAAATGGTAAGTATCAATCAGTTGCAATTTAGTATTATTTTAGTCGATTGCCAAAAGTCACATAACGAGATATCAACGAATATTCGAAAAATTTGGTCTATACGAAAAACTATCACAAATTCTTGAATATGGAATAGACACTTACCATCGCAGACTGCAGCGTTTTTTGTGTACAGGAATTGTTTCTCAATAATAAGATCCACAGTACAATACAAATCACAAAATGACAATCTACAGCGTTTTGCAATCAGCTGTAAGTTTTCCCATATCTAGTGAGTTTCCGATACGAGTACAAATGAGTAAATATTCGAGTACCTCTACCAAGTACCGAGTATTTTTTGTACTTGGATACAAGTGACCAAGTACTTGGTGGGTATCGAGTACATTGTGCAAGTATTTAATCGGTCGAAAAAATTATGCATCTCTAGTTAGATTAGCAAAGTTTCCACAAATTGGATATATGAAGTTTGACGCGTAAAATTGTGTTCGATTTCTAGCATATATGTATCCCTGCAGCATCCCATGTGCTGAAGCTTTATGGTATTTCATACAACAATAGCCTGCATTACGCAGGAAAAATACGTAGATATATACACTGAGGAAAAAACGCGTTGTAAAAATTAAAATTTTTATTTGATAACCGTTTAAAAATTGTCGTATTTAAATTAAGTGAAAAGTGTTCAAAATTGAATATTTCCATTATACATACACTACGTATAATGGAAATATTAAATTCAAATACGCCCGTATTAAAATGAAGCATTTTTCACTACACGGATGGCGTTTTGCTCGTCTCGGATGCTTTTTCATATTTAATTAAGAAAGTATAGACCAAAATACAATAGCGCAGTGGCAGTGGCAGCGACAGTTTTTAAAATCAGCTGTTACTGCTAATATTGGCAGTCACTGCCGCAGCAAACACAATACGGCGTTGTCAGTGACTGCTTTTTTTGACATTCGCTTGTGTTTGTTTACATTTTTGTTGCTGCCTTTTACGCTTCAGTGACATCAACAGAAGTTGGCTGCGTTTCATTTATGTCAAATTTAACATGCGAAGTTTGCTGCTGTGAAAGCAGCGACAGTGAATTTCGAATTTGGGCTAAACTGAGCAGTAACGCCAATTGTATTGTGAGTCGCTTCATTGGACACTACACTTTCTAAAACAGCTGATTTCGAAAAACTGAGTTTTAAGCTTCATTTTCAGAGTGGATAATAGTGATAACATTACAGAAACCTCAGTGGAGTGCAATTCAAGTAAGTATGTAGTTGCTTTTGTAAGCCTCTGTTGGTAAAAAATATTACCGCAATACATGCCTAAAGAACAATCTGCCACCAAAATGAAATCGAAATTGGATAGCCTTGTGTCTGAAGTATAGGAAAAGTCGCTACATTTATCATTTTTCGATTCGCTGTGAAATTTTAGAATTTCCTCTTTTTTTTATTAAAGAAAGTGATGCTCTTGCGTGTTTTAAGAGTATAGGCTGACTTCCAAAACGTCAATTGCATTGCATACGTACAAAGTTTAATGTTCCATAACGCCGAACTACAATTGGTTGACAATGTATACTTTTCCAAAACCCATCCGAAAAGTTATCGAACCGCATCGCTAGCGCAATCAGCGCATCAGAAACAAAGTTGATGCTTCGTTTGTTATTGGTTACCATTGGTGTTTTAAATATGCAAAATTCCGAAATGGTGATTATTGTTTTATTAAATATTCCAAATATGCAATGTATATGGTTGCAATGTTTCGCTACTCTGCATATGCAAACAGTTTAAATACGGCAGTAGAACAGTATCCAAACATTGTATTGGTACGTTTTGGAAGTCAGCCATACTCTCTAGCTTTTAACAGTTACAAGAGCAGTAGCCCAGTGTTATTTGCAGAACACATTTCAACCTAAGCAAATAGGATAAGGATTTTAAGAAATGTTAATATGAAGCGAAT